TTGGCACAGCCTAGTAGAAAGTGCAATAGATCAAACGTCAGCAATTGGGAAATAAATATTGCACTGTTTATTAAGTGTTGGCAATAGCGTTTCTTTTAGCAATGAAATGCAGTTTTCGGATGATTTCTTCGTACTAATCACAACACAAATGTCCAGTGTTCAGCGACAATTAATATGCCATTAAGATAATCTAGGATTTGGGTTAAACAAGAGCAAGACAGAGATACACAGAATGACTCAATCCGTTTCAAAAGCTTGTCTCAGGTATAGCGTTGAAGAGGTAATACCAACGGGTAAATATTACTCACTATGTAAATAGTTGTAATTTATATAATATAGCTAATATAGCTTTTTTTGTGAACTTATAATATAGTAAGCTCTACAATCCGACCCAATCACTTCAAATTGAGAAGCGCAAACTGTAAAAGAAATGTACGTAAGAACTTTGTTGTATTGTTTACAAATAGTTTTCAATCTTCATATATCTATTCACATTTTAAAAGTTAATCATAATTGCATTTGTTTTAAAGAAACGAATTTTGAAGCCTTTATAAACAGCATTCAGAAGATAGAATAAAAAATACATTATATTTCGAATTTTTACGACCAAAAAAGATAACCATTAAATGTATTAAACAATTTATAAAGATAACAAAATAGGACATGTAAACAGATAAAGTATATTGTTCCTCAGTTATCGGGGTTTTAGCCATTTAAAACTGTTCATAAAAAATAAAACTATCTTTTTGGGCATTCCTAACAATGTAAAAGAGTTATCAGTAACACCAGGAAATATGCCAATATTTAGAAAGGTAGCATTAATAAGCAAAGATACGATTCAGAGATGCTTCATTATTCACATTAAATAACTAATTGCTCTAGAATAAATTTTGACGACGGACACTCGCTGTCTTCCTTGTTCTTTTAATAGCTTTAGCATTAGCTTGCTTTTGCTGACCATATTTCTTTACACACAAAAAATGTCACGTTACCTCTTATACGACAGAGACACTGCACATTGATAACATACTAGTAAGAACTACCCATGGAAGTGTTAAATTAATTTTTCCGCCGTCCTCAAACCGTGCGGTTGTAGACTGTATCTACCGGCGTAGATCGGGGTGTGAAAGGTCTCCCCCATGGCGATCGGATTGGGGAGGTGATTGGAAGGGAATGCAACGGAATTGGCCGGAATGAGATAAGACGGGACGGGACGGGACGGGACGGGACAGGACGGCACGGCACGGCACGACACGGCACGACACGGCACGGCACGGCACGACACGGCACGACACGACACGACACGGCACGACACGACACGGCACGGGATTTGTAATGGGACTTCCCAAATTACCACTCCAGAACTATTTACTATTATTTTATATTCACTGCAAGGTTAATTGGAATCTTCAGACATTTATGGCATTGGTCAACATTCCTGAAAATGTGTGAAACTTCGAGAATGATTGCCGAGGCAATACAGCAAAAGTAGTAGTAGTCGAAAGCCTGATTTGCAAAGCAGACATGGAACAATTTTTGTTTTTTTCCAAAAGTGTAAGGTCATTGAGATCGTTGAGATGAAGTGGGTAAAACTGCATTGAATGTACAAGAGACGTTACAGCTGGAAAATAATAATACATTCATTGTATTCCGGTATACATTTTTCCACCATAACCTCCGTTTCTATAATTTACTGGTCGGTAAACTAAGTCACTGACATCGAAAATAATTTAGTGCTTATCTAAATTGTGTATTCCGTTTGATTTTGGATAAAAAACAGTTAACTGCTATGACATCCGTGTGGAATTGATGGAGGGAAACTACGGGAACATGCATCAGACGTTGGTGTCTGAATGGCGTCTAGAACAGTCACCGCAGGTATAAGCGTCGATCCAACATCAGTTTCTAGTTTGTGCCAAAAAGTTATTGGTTTAGTTTTGTCAGTTATTGCCAGACTCGAACCTAGGACTTGATGGCAAAGTTTTAGGCTTGCGGCGAACAAAAATCTCGTGGAATTTATGATGACTCTTGAAACTTCTTGGAAATAATATGTCCATTAATTAAATACCTCTACTCCGGACAAAGCAGCATAAGCTGTTTCTTCTGAGAATTGTATTACATAGTAATATGTGGAGAAACTGATAAAAACCTACTAACTAACGTCATGTTACAGGTTTCGAAGAACTTTCCTCATTTTGGTGGAATAAAAGTCAAGTTACCTGCATATGTGAATATTTTCATTTATTCAATTGTATGTCTTGTTAATTTTATCTAACTTCATTTGTTGTTAAGTTTTTCAGTTAATTTGCTCTGTAGCCTGCCACTGAAGATGAAAACATGCGGACAGATTCATGCTAAAACGTTCATATACCCAGTGATTCAAAAATGCCTTTTGACTATGAGACGTCATCTGCATTAGTACATGACAAGCCGTAGTGATTATTCAGTTTTTTGGCAAACTTTGTAAGTCATTCCCCCACGGACTAAAACTTGACGCGCCATGTGGTGATTAAATTTTCCGATACCTCGATCAGAGACTGTCGGTTGGCGTTAAGTAGGGGAAACGCATCCTGCACAAAACGATGGACCTGACGCAAAAGACCCAAATGATCGCCTTAAGCGGCCTTTGAACTAAACCGAACATATCTACCTTTCATAATTACATTTTTTCGCATTAAGGAGTCAATAATACTGACAGCCAAGACTGGTTTGTCTAAGTGCTCACCACATTATGCCTTACGCATGAACCTTTGTGGCGGCAACAAATTACACATGAATAAAGCGGCCATTGCATAAATTGCAAGGGCAGTATTTCGCTAAGCCATGAACTTTCGAATTGCAAGAAAAAATAGTTCTTAGACAATTTAAATACACGCGGCGATTTCCACATTTCTTTTTATGAAATGACATCATTTTGAAATACATAAGGCCCCTACTGGGATCGTAAGAAATTTCATTTCCTCATTAGACACAGCGAGACGTACTCAGCAGCGTCGTACCAGTCGTGATCCGAACCAGGAAGTTTGTTTTAAATGCGCATGTACCTCCGCAAACCTTTCGTTTCAAGACACGTTCTGTATTGATTTATTGAACAAGGATAGCTTTGGACTTCAAAAATGATCGAGTCATTTCGAAGGCAATTCTGGCAATTATATAATCTGACAACATACTTATAAAATCACAGTATAACCAAGAATGGGACAAACAACATTTCTGGTCCTCTCGGTCTCCCTCCCTCTTCATTAATCTTTATTATTTCATTTGATACATACATAGAAAATAAAACTACATATAAGGAGAATGAAATTGTAACTTGGAATGATGCAATTAATTAGTATCAAAAACTTATTAATATTATTATTTTTTAATGTGATACATTTAAATAGATATAGAAGAATGGTTTGGGAGGCACATTCCTCCCCATTACTGTGTATCAATTCTCCTAATGATCAGCCTAAAAGGTGGGAAAATAAGAAATTGAATGTATTTTCTTAATTAAAATATTTTATTACGAGGCGATTGTTCCCCCTCTCAAATTTCTCAGGGGAACCACGACCACCATAGACCACTCTTCCCTGTGCGCACGCCTATGAATTGCGGTCATGATGTCAACAATCATGATGATGGTGATGGTGGCGGTACTCAGAAGGATAGTCCTATAGCCTCCTACTCGGCGGCTTCGGAACTTTTTCACATTTCTTTGCTATGCATTTTTGACTGTCTGACACACAGAGAACAGCGGAATATTTTTTCATTTGCAATATTATTTCATTTCAAAGTTACATACTAAATAAAAACATGGTTATGTATTACTGAAATTATCTTTGGTAAAAAGTGAAATTAGTATAAAAATAATGGAATCTACTAATTCTTAAAAATATAGAAGATGCCTCTCTTCCATTATGAAATTCCGAATGCAAAGGGAAGGGAGTATTTAAAAATTAATGAAGGGGTTAGACAAGGATGCCCACAATCACCTACATCGTTTACTATATACATTAACACACTTCTCTTGGACTGGAAGAATGATCTGAACAATGAAGGCATTAAAATTGGAAATGAAACGAAAATCAACACTAGTTTGCAGATGATCTAGTATTGGTCTGAACCTGTGAATATCATCTCGACAAGTTAACATTTAAATTAGGAACGCGAGAAACGAAATACGAAAATTACAAAAGAGTGAGAGAGAATATAATTGTAAAGTATCAATTATCAAAAATGAAGCTACGGCTTTCAACATTCCATACGTACTAAAATAGTAATACAACATCACTATCGATCAAGTATCCAACTTTCTTAATGACATTGTTGTGCAGTAAAAAAGCTCCAAGTTTCGGGCTATATCAAAAGAACATTGGGAAAGATAGCAAACCAAATTCAAGCTTTGTAAACAACAGCCATACCTTCTCCTCTGTTTGGATGCAAACATTAGTAACAAAATCAAGGGAAAACAAGAGAATTAACGTAGAATGAATGCAATTCATGAGGTATGTGAAGGTATGTACATTAATGGACCATAATTAGAAATGAGGATGTAAGAGAAGAATTGGGAATAACTAACTTACAAGAAAATATAAATATCTACAGAAAAACACTGTACAGACAATTGACAAAAAAATGAACAATGATAGATTACCCAAGCAGGCCTTGTACAATCTCCCAAAAGCTAAAAGAAGTACGAAGACCAAAGAAGAGATGGACGTCTTTAGACAACTTTGCCGGAAAAGACTTAGATTAGCCTAATCCATGCCGTTAATTATGACTCCCTACCAACTCTAATGACGTTCCACACGTGACGTGTCGTGACGTGACATATCGTGACGTGTTGTGACGTGACATGTCGTGACGTGACACTCACAAAACTCCAGCTGTGGACTCCTAACACAGAACAACCTCGTATTGATCAACGCTCACCCATTATTTTCTTCACGCACTTCCGATATCAGCGCCCATTTATTCTCGTCACAAGCCCCCCATCATGTACATTAGAAAGCGTATTATACTTCCGGATCGCTTTGTGCCAGACGCGGCGAACCGTCCGTCGCCTTCGGCGTCGATCGTGCCGGCGGCGGCGGCGGACCGCGGCGCTGGGAGCGGCAGACAAAGCCCCCTGCAGCCTTGGCGCGCGCGCGCGTGAGCCGGATGGGCGATGCACCTCCAAATGAGGCGAACGCCGGCCGAAGAATGCGGATGAGGGCACGCGGGGACGCGAGATTTCTTTCTTTTTTGCTTCCTTTCCCTCCCCCTCTTTTTCAAAAAACTAAAGCGTGTAGATAAATAGAGCAACTGCGTATGCAGGTATTTAATTAAATAAAAAAATTTTAGTTTCAATTACGTGAATGAAGTGCCTCTGACCGGGAAGTCGTTGGTTCGAATCTTCGCTGTGGCAGGATTTTCGTCACTAGCTTGTCAGCTTGGTCGAATTCAGCCGCTGTTTGGAGGAGTATTCTATGAAGATGCTGGCTGCTCTGATCAGGGGTTTTCTGTGGTTTCTGTGTTCAACACTAGACGAATGCCGGAGCCGTACCTAAACAAACGCGTCAGGAACACGCGAGATTTTCCCTTCCTCTTACTTGTCCTTTTCTCACCCCTTACTTACACACTCACATGTACTATACTCACACACTTGCTGAGAGACAAGTCGGGAGCTTAGAGCTTATCCCGTTTGAGGCGGTTCCCCGCTGGTGTGAGATATCAGGGTGGGGAAAAATCTCTTCAAGCCAACATAGGTCGGCAACGGATCTCGCCGTCCGACGGGGGAAGATCGCCTCCACCTCCCGCGATAAAACATGCTCTTCTTCCACGAGTCTAATGACAGCAGTTGATGCACTCGGAATCACTAACCAATAAAAGCGAAAGAAGATAGGTCGTTTAGTATGAATTGCAAACCAGGACATTTTACAATTACAAGAGAACGATTTCAATACAAACAATATGTGAGTTATTTGATATCTGTAATTTTCTTCGTGTCTTCTTCGCCTTCACTGTGCACTCGAAATGAGCGAGGGTAACAGCAGATTCCAATAGCTCTTTCTGGCTAACGAATATTCTTGCCTTGACTCCTCCAAGAATGTATTCATTGTGACTTGTAGAACTTCCCTACATCTTTGAAAGTTGAAGAGCACGGACGGGAGGCAGAGCGGAGATAGGAAATCAAAATCACGCCGAAAAGTAACAAAATTGCTGGATCACTCGACAACTGAGATTCCCTGATAAATCGCATTTTCTTCACCTTTAATATTTGGAACGCGGCAACGCAAATAAATTTATGCCAAAATATTTGATACCTGAAAAATTCTCACTTCAGATCTTAAAATTCTATTTGATGAATGAATTAAACTATATTTATTAAGACAACTCTTGATGCGCATAAGTTGATGTACACCGCAGTAGAAAAGACAAGCATTGAACGCGACAAATATCGAAGAATATCAACTACTGGAACTTCGAAAACTCGATTTTTTTACATGATACCTCAAATGTACGTGGCAACCATCATATATCTCCGGATTTGCAACCACAATAGGTATAAAATTAGTCTAATGTGTAATAAAACAAGTGTTATTAAAATTATTATTATTCAAATTATTATTATTCAAATTATTATTATTCAAATTATTATTATTAAAATTATTATTAAAAAAGTATTATTAAAACAATTTGTTATCTCAAATTGTTGCGTACCAACTTCTCCTTCCATATTCAGCGAATACGTGAGGACCGACTGGAGATTTCGATAGCCCATTCAGGCTACTGATGACTCCGGTCTTAAAATACTTGTCTATGAATGTATGCACGGTGATTTATTAAAACCTTGCTACGTGTTTCTAAGTTGTAGGTCGCGGTTATCAGAAACATAATGCAAGTTTTGAAACGAATGCTTTGGAAATGACTGATGAATTTATCTGTGAATGTACATACAAGAGATATATTAGTAAACACATTCCTACGAATAAAAATAAGCAAATATAAATGTTTACATCATGATGTCATTATAAACATAACAAATAATTAAATATTAAACTTAAATAATATCAATGAATATAACATGTTGCAGCACGTGAAAGGCAATAAAATGAAATCAGTAATAGTCCTGGAGATAAAACGACGGAGAACAATACATAGAGTTCAGACATTTCCAGAAACACAAGATAACCAAATGTTGTAGGATATGACACGCTACATTATGAGTTACACAATTTTTGCACCATAAGGCTTTCACGCGAACTCGCGTAAATACGTGTCGCAAGAGGCAGACATATGCCGCCCACAACGCCTTAATGTAGTCTGTTAAGAAAGCTTTAGTGTTGGGAAAAGAACCATATATGTCGCCTGCTGAGCAACGAAATATCTTTTCTTTTGCTGTCATTTTATTAATTAAACAAGAGTTGACATGAAATTAAGTAAATAAATCTAAAGAGTCAAAGATAAAACAATAACGGAAACAGACAAGCACACAATTTAATTATAATTTAAATAAATCTGTGCATGCAAAAAGTAAGAATATTTAACTAAGAATTTACATTATTTAATAAACTACCTTTAAAAATTAGCAAAAATTTGATAAAATTGCAGAATTTAAAAGAAAATTATAAAATACATAAAAATAGAAAATTAATTCTCTAAATAATTAAAATAGTATACCTACAGATGCAATCGATGTTTGCAAATATGTACTTAATTGAACGTGAAGAGAAAGGCTAAATAAAAAAAAATATTTGTATCTACTGGTTGTAGGCTGGTCAATAGATGTCATGTATCGTAAAACGATATAAGGCTTACTATTTTGTACTCATTTGTCCCATTATCCCTGAAACTAGAACTCAAGTGTAAATTTTTAATATTTCAAAATGCTGTAAATTACCAAAAACTATTCAAATATGTAAACATGTTTTATTTACTTCCAACATTTCCACCAAGCTACTCCTAACATTTTACAGCACTGGATTAAATAGTTCCTGAGACAATGGGTCAAATGTATAGCGAAATTAACATGGGAGAAATAAGGTGTCACGTTACGTCGTGTGAGCGAGGCTCGTGGTGTTGGACAGAGAGCGTGGACCGCGAGTTGGTTTTCGGCGTCCGCCGAGGGAGAACGGGGGTTTTACAGCACTGGATTAAATAGTTTCTAAGACAATGGATCAAATGTGTAGCGAAATTAACATGGGAGAAATAGAGCTTTATGTTACGTCGTGTGAGCGGGGCTCGTGGTGTTGGACAGAGAGCGTGGACCGCGAGTTGGTTTTCGGCCTCCGCCGAGGGAGGGGGGGGAGGCACTCACCGGTCAGAGAGCGCGACGCGTCGCCGTCGGCGGTAGAAGGCGAGCAGCGCTAGGGCGTTGGCGGCGGCGCCCAGCGCCAGGGAGGCCGCGTGCAGCGCGCCCGCCGCCACAGCCACCCACGCGGCGCCTGCCATGCGCCTGCAGCACACACAACAAACAAATAAGCAAACGAACAAACTAGCAAGCAAGCAATAGTTATTTATGCACCAAGGGCGTTAAAAGCGATCGGCCGCAAAATGCCCAAGAGCATAGATTAAATATAAACACTAAAAGTACGTAATTGGCAGGAAAAATCCCAACGCTTGTTCTCTTCATTACCACCTTTTCCATGTCTACCGTTTCCCATTGCACCAGCACTTAGTGTAAGAACACTACCAGATATATTGCTGCTCGAGTTGTTTAGCCTATTAGTGGGATGGGAAAAGACGTTCCAAATTGCACTGGTGCATTATTTATAAATGTACTAGAAATGGTTGTAATGATTGAGCGGTGACAAAATTGTCGAGGTCTTTTTGTCGCCTGAGTTCATTAGAACCAGTTAATGTTCGTGGTACATACATAATTTCATTTTTAGCTAATTTTATTGATTCAGATTTACTTACTAATTAACTAGATGTTAACTTGACTGGGTTTGCTATTTCATGTTTCCCTCCCATAATTCCCTTTCATTATTTTCTCTCATAATTACCTACACTTCTGCCTGCCAGTTGGGGATGTTCCCAGGTGTGGCCCTGTTTTTATTATCCACGCCTGAGAGTAAGGGAGTCATTATGATATATAGTAAATTATCCTATATTATTTGTAAATTAGATATCTATTGAATTGTGCTATTTTCAATGTTCCTTTCATTGTATCAAAATTAGGACTTTTCATTGTATTATTCTTTATTGCGTAATATTTAGAATATTGTTTAAAGATATTGTAATTATAACTTGCCAGCAATCAACAGCTCACCTATGAGACTAAAAAATCTTATTATATTATTATTAAACATTATTATACGTTATTGATAAAATTAATATATTATGTGTATGAAAGTCTCAGAAATACGTACAATCCAAACACTCTTCTCTAGACACGTACCCAGTGTTCGCGCTGGAAGGAGATCGAAAGTTTAAAAATGGCACCTTCGTGATTGAGGCTGTTGCCCACATATATTGGATTAAGTGCAAAAATAGCTGCTATTTCAGCCGTTGGCTAAACTGGGCTTCGAACTCTCGATCGATGTATCGCGGGTAAGGGGTGTGGGCGCTGCACAGTCGGATGTGCTGTCCCCAGGAACTGTTGACGAAGTACCTGGCAAGAAATGGAACGCAAGCCTTAACGTCATATGCCAATTTATTTTCTTACTATTAAGAAATAAGCAAGATAAAAGCAACTTTTCTTTTTCATTTTCAAACTACGGGGATATGAACGTAAGCTCGGAGTTTCATTTCTGCAGTTATTCGTAAATTTCCAGGGGGTAAATATGTATAACATTGAACTCTACCGTAAACAACATTGTATATAACTTTTTTGTGGTTTGAAGTACATCGAGATATTACATGGATTTTTTTATAAATTAATAATTTATACAAAGTATCTAAATATGTATTTATGAGTTATCGCCTTCGCAATTTATTAAAGTTTAGGTAAATAATAAATTATTATTTCTTGGTTTATTGTGGTGTATTATTTCAATCTTTCTGGTCCGTGTGGGTAGTGTTGTGCATATAAGTGTGTGTGTGTATGTGTGTGTGTGGTGTGTGAAAGTAAGGTGGAAGGTTAAGACAAGGAAGGGGAAGGAAAGATACGCGCGGTCCGTGGCTCGTGTTGTAGCTCCAGCATTCGACTGGTATTGAATCTGGCGATCACAGAAAACTTCTGATGAGAGCATGGGGTCCGGTTAGATTCTCCTCCAGACAGCGCTGGTATTCGACCTAGCTATCTAGCTAGTGTCGGGAAAATCCTGTCACTGTTTGGGCTCGACTAGGCTCCCGGTCAGAGGCACTGTATGTTTATGTTCCTTGATGGCTCAAGTTACCCCTCCCGGTTTTGAGACACTAATTGATTGCTAGTGGTGACTGACCATTTTCCTTGTAGATATATTGTTTTTAAACTTTTAATTAATATGATACTTCTATCATTTAAAACTGGTGAGAAGGTCCGGAAAGTTATCTCTAAGCAGTAAAATTGAAAGTTTCATGGTACGAACTGATTCTCATGAAAAAACGTATTGTTTCTCTCTAATTATTTTTGCAAAGGATATTGGTATCATGTGTGCTGTTATAAGTTTTCAACATGTATATTTTCATTTTTTACAATCGGATAAAATTAGGGAATACTCATTGAATTCTTGATGGACTTTTTTACGCGGAGACTCGAGAGGTAGTAATTTTCGTGGGGTAAAATGCATTAGTGAAACTTCGTATTAGATTTTTTATAATCACACTGTTTTTTTATAAAATGATTGAGAAGACTCCATCTTAAAGTTCCATTTAAATTTTCCTTTCGGGCTCTTGTTACTGACAATCTTTTACTTTCCACTGTGTTCCAAACTCCACATATATTCCCCTTTTTCTGTAATCTAATTGGACTTATTGTCATTTATGTACTACTGAAGTCAGTAAATATGAAGATGCATACTATCACCTCTTCGGATATTGTGTATCCTAAAAAGATTCCACATTCGAAAATTTGAATCTTCCAGTGTTTCAGTTACTCACATTTTTAAAACACAATATTACACACAGAGTTTCCGAATATCTGCTTTGACCTCTCTATTTATTACAAAGGTTGTTTGTGTTTACCAAGGATTTAATATATTTACTAAAGTAATATAAATAACCCGACACAATTTCATGAACTTCCCCCTCCCCCACTTTTCTTTTCGAACGTGAATGACACATTTGTTTTAATGACAATACATTTTTAATTTTTAACTGGATTTCAAAAGTACTTTCAAGAGAAGTTCCCTTCTTGGTATTTATTTATTTTTCAGCAAAAACTGAACGAGTATTGGGGTGGGATGGAGAAAAGGTTCATTTCGGGCCCAGAAGCAAAACAGGGGACAATATCTGTAGTTATTCAACGGTTCTGTAGAGGCTGAATACAAAACTCAATGGAGATTAGCATCACAATTCTGACTTCAAATATCCAAACTCTAAATTTATTCTATACAATATTTTTACACTATGAGCACGGCAATCTATTAGGATTCGAACACTGGTTGGATTTGACAAAATTGAAGATTCGTCGCCTCTGAAGCAAATTTGAATGACTTCCTCTTTCCACAACCCCACACCCAAGTGTGTTTGCCCAACGTTTTGCGAGTGAACTATTCAATTATCACCTCGTTGAAGTTCCTGCGAGGAGGTTAAGGACTCAGCCTCCGCGCCTTAGCCTCACTTCCTGAGACCCTGGGGCGGCACCAACACGCGCCGTGGCCAAGTCTATCACGAAGTTTAATGAACGGCGTCCTACCTCATTAAACACCGGGGTTCCGCGGAAAATGCATGACGAAAAATCCATCATAAGATAATGAACGTTCGCGTTTTGGCTTTTCCTTAGACAGCGCTGCAAAGGGGATTGAAGGTTATAGGTCGCTCTGAAGAAGACCACCTACAGTTTGCAAGGCAATATGCGATGATCGTTAATTGCTTTTAACAGTCTCACGTAATAAACGTACAGATAAAATAAAAATCTGAAACAAAAAAAAACTTATTTTTTTATTACTGAGGGATATAAAGTGAAGAGACTATACTTTGCATCGGGTACGACTATTTAACAGAGGAAATTTTCGCTTAGTAAATTTTAATAATACAACTTATTATAAGAACTATTAATCAAGATTAAACATTTATATGTTTGTACGTGTCTATGTCAAAGAGCCTTAGGTCATTTCAAATCTTAGTCTTAGATTTTATATATAATCGCCTAATGGTAAATTTTGAACTCTAGTGTGTCTCTCCATTGTCGTAACCACACCGAGGCTGTAATACTATGTGGTTCTTTGAGGAATAAACTCACAAAAGATAAACAACCACCCACAACGACCAACACCTGAAACGTAACAACGCCACAGATGTCTTCATCTAAAATGTCCCGGACTAAGAACTCGTTCATTCCCGGAATAAAAATTCACGGGTGACAGCATCCGACATCACCATGATATAGAATATCAAGCCTTTGGATCGGCACTTTCAGATATTTACCTAGACATTACACGAAGGTGACTGTTTTCCAACCTTTAAGTAAGAGGAATAACCCGTTCCACAGCTGGAACGCGAAATGAACTCAGTTTCAGATCTCGGGAGCCTCTGAGCACGTATGTATCATAAAACTGAAAAAAAGGTCGATAAATTGCATCGTATGACTACTTTCTCGATGTCTGTCTGATAAAAATGGCGATAAGCGCAGAATAAGAAGCAAGAGCAATTTTCTCGATGCTTTTTTCCGCGTGCCAACACAGCTGGGTACTCTCTACGTCTTGGAATCGGGAGCTGAGGCAGCATTCTTTCTCGAACATAACATTTGAAACAAAACACGGCCAAGGTACAAAATAGTGGTGGTCTGTGGTATATCTCGACCAATTTCTTTTACAGTTTATATTTTAATGAAAGTTATATTCTTCTATATCCCAAATGCTGTAGGGAATTCTAATGCGTTACATGAAATTTCTGCTAACCACGCGAAACCTTCATGCGGAAACAACATACACCATCTACGTTATCACTGACATGGATTAAGTTGCAGATTGATATGCATATAACATATTCTATAGTTCTATAGTTCTACAATAGTCTATAGTTCTACAATTTGGTGCGTAGAACACCGTAATGGATCAATTTAATGAGTAGCAAATTATACAGGAAATTAAGCATTCCCATACAAACATGTATTTTGAAATGTGTCTCTAAATTATAGTTCTGTGTCACATTTAGAGTATATTCAAATACCCTCTTAGGTCACTTTTACAATTCCTTCTCCACCATTGCACACAAGTCCAAAGAGTCCAACCTTATTGCCAAAAATTTCAAAAAACAATACATTAATTGTGTTATGCACACATTACACGATATTCGATTATATGTTAACACAATTTACCTAATTTTGCACATTGTGACAATTAAATACAACATTTTATTTACTTCGA